AGCCAGGGGGCCTGGCTCAGATCCGGCCACTTCCCAGCAGTGAGACCGCAGACAACTTACTCATCTCTCTGCACATCAGCTTTCTCTACTGCAGAGCAGTGGAAGTAGGGACACTTATCTGAACTTATCTGGGTTGTTCTGAAGATTAAATGAGATAATTGACATAAAGGGCCTAGAAAAGCCACACTGGGGCATGTGGCTCTTCTCAGTGGAGATTCTTGAAAGAACCTCTGATGTCTGACTCAAGATAAAGAAATGGATATACTATTCCCCTTCTTTATTTCTGATCTATGCAAAAAGAAGACACAGAGAGTGTTCAATTATAATCCCTCAACATCCTTTTAAGAGTTTTTCTTCTTATTACTTTTATAGCAATTTTTCCAGAAGTGAAATAAAAACTATGAGAGTTTACCAAACAGATAGACATTGTTAACATAGGGAAAAAACCCCAATATTTTCAGACTCTCCGAAAGAATAGAAAGTAGCAATTCGTGATGAAGAAAATGAAGACAAGGCAAGAGAAGGTGGGGCCTGACCTTGGGTGTTAGATGTGGTCTTGAGCTGCATTTAATAAAAGCAGCCCCTTTGTGGGAAAAGAGAGGTCATATGGCAGAAGATGGGACACAAAAGTGACATCCACAATTTTAGAGCTGGTAGACACTTTGGGTTCAGTCACCTGCATTTTATAGGTAACAGCGAGACTCAAAAGAGATTAAATGATGTTACTTAAATTAACATCTGGAGGTCGTGTTGGATTTAGAACCCAGTCCTCTTCACCATCAGCCCAGGGATCCAAGGAATGCCAGGAAGTGGCGTTAGGATTAAATAGCTCTGGATTGAATCCTGGCTCTATCACAGCTATGTGATCACCCTGAGTCTCAGTGTTCTCAAGTATGCAGTGGGATAATACCAGGATCTACATTATAGAGTTGTAAGGGACTGTAATGCAGTGAAGAATTTAGTCCACCATCTGCCATAGTTAGTGTTCAGTAAAGGATAGTTATTATCATTTCCAGCTTAGTTGATGAACTTCTGTGTGACTATGAAAGAGCCATTTCTGGCTTGACGCCCATAGCTCAGTGGTGAGGGCACCAGTGACACACACTGAGGCTAGCAGGTTGGAACAGGGCCCAGGCCTGCTAAACAACAATGATAACTACAACAAAAAATAGCCAGACGTTGTGGTGGGTGCCTGTAGTCCCAGCTACTTGGGAGACTGAGGCAAGAGAATCACTGAAGGCCAAGATTTGGAGGTTGCTCTAAGCTGTGACAGCACAGTACTCTACTGAATGGAGTGCTGTCCAAATAATAAATAAATACATAAATAAATAAGAAAGAGCCATTTTCCCATGATTTACTTCCTATTTATGTAAAATCATTTAATTCTTCTCTGTGAAAGATGTGGGTGTTTCAACCAGTTAACTTGAATATTTGCCAAAAAAAAAGAAAAGAAAAGAAATTATTTTTCTTTGCCAAGACCAAGAATTTCCTTGGAGATATTTGTAAAATGTTTAAAGGTGGCTTGAAAGAAAATGAATGTAATGTAGTAATTAAATCAGTGTTATTAACATCATACTACTTCTATCTGGAATCTAGATTTCATACAGATTATGCTGGAGGGTCTGCGCAGGAACTGGGTCACAGAAATAGCTAGAGGTATGGAGGACCATCAGGAATACTTCTGGTGTTAAAAATGGGCCAAGATGAAAGGATAACACACACAACATTTTGAAATATTTTTCAAATCTTTTCCGTTGTACTCACAAGCTGGTGATGAAGCCACTATGCAGAGGAGTACAATGTCTAAGCTAACAGAGCTTGTTTGGGGAGGTAGTCTGAAGATAAATGAAATGCATTTTACACAGCTGGTAGTTAAACAAACAGAATTCATTGCCCCAAAGGGGACTATGACTCGGTTGGAGAAAGGTTTAGGTAAATCCATGGGTAATGGATATTTAAGGAGTTATTAAGGGAAAGGTAAGAGTACTCAGTGTATATGACTAAATGTTGAGGTTAATATTGTTTAGAACAACAATTTGGCTCTTCTAATGGAAGTCAGTATCTTGGCCTGGGTGAACCTCTATTTTGATTCAACATGGAATTTCTTATGTTCTAATGCAGGGTAAAAAAGATTTGTAGAGCAGTGATATGTGACAGTCTTTGCTCAGCTTATTAAATGGATTGCCTGTGGTTTTGAAAAGCTTCCTCCTCTTAACAGTCATATTGGAATCCACTGGGTGGCAAGAACCCAGCACACTACCTTAAGGTCACTCCTGCATAAGACATTAATGCATCAGCCTCTAATTTGGAAACCTGTGGTCACTCTGCAAGACAGAAATTCGCCTCTCTCCCTTGGTATAATGATTCTTACTTTGCAATCTCTCTTGGGGTAACTCCTTACAGGATTGGCATGTTGAGAACAAGAGATTGCCTCTAACAATATGGTTGTGATTCTCTGCTTGGCTGATTTAGCTAAGCATTTAAGTAACCACTAATCTTCTGAAAGCACCAGGGTCTACTTAGAGAAATCCCTGTTGTCTGCAAGAATGGAAACAAAATCAGCATGGAGGAAGCATTAGTTACAAAACAAAAATCAATCTTTTTTCTCCACCTAGCAGTATGCTATGTCACTTTCAGAGGTGTGGTTTCTGGGCAGCCAGTCTTCATTTTATAGGTGCAAGAAGGGCTCACGTCTAACAAGCAGGGAAGATGGGTTGGGGAAGTGGAAGTTGTAAAAAGAGAGTTTATTGAAGTTCCTAAGTATAAATCAAACCCCATTCTAATGGATGAATATCACAAACGCTGCGTAAAATAGGCCAGATGCACAAGAACATTGTATACAATGTCACTTACATAAAGCTCAAAACAGGCAAAATTAGCCTTTGTTGGGGGATGGGAGTGAGAGAAACTGGGTGCTAGAAAGCTAAGAGAGCTCATTTAGTGAAAATTCACTGAGATTTGATTTGTAAATGTCATGATTTGTATGACTTTATGATTTATAGACATCGCTGAATTTGTGTTATATTTCAATAAAAAGATTATCTTTAACACATTTAATATTTTCTCTTTGATATGAAAGAAAATTAATTTGACATGTTCAACTCTTACACACACAGGGTTTATCAGAATTAATTTGGAATTAATTCTTGCCTTGATTACCTTGATATTCTGAGTTAAGATTTACTGAAATTCAACATTCACACTTCCAGTGCAAATCTGGTCTACTATAATGAGAAATTGCCCAAAGTCAACTTCAGACTTAATAAAAATAATGTATGGAATGGAGCCAAATTAACAGGCAAATTTGTGTATAACTCCATGCGAACGGAACCAGAATGACTTATCCTCTGAGCATCCCTGTTGCAGAATCACCTGCTCTCAGAGAACAGGAAGTCCATTCATTAGGAAAAGGTGGGCACTGGATCTAAGTTGGAAGTCCCAGAATCTCTTCTTAGCTTTGCAACATGACAAAATGTCATTATCTGGTATCTCTATGCCTCAGCTCCCCATGTGTAAATTAAGGGAAAGCATATGAAGGAGAGACTATTTGGGGAAGGGTTTTAAGTGCCTGCTGATGAAATGTGACATAATTATCATTATCTGATACAAATACTGAAGATTACCACTAATAAAGATGGCCAGAAATAACTCTGTCATCTGCACAAGGTGACTGAGACTTGTGATATGCAGAAGAGAGGCATGAAAGGGAGAAAGAACTATAAGCCTGCATTACAGAAAATTCTTTTTGTCAATAAATTCCATTTAGCTGAAAATATTCCAAAGGGAAGGAGTGGGAAGAATCATTCCAATGAAAGTGGATCAGAGTGACAAATGGTCACAGCCCTTACTGGCCATGAGCACTAATAAACGCTACCTCTAGAATCTGAGTTTTTTCCTGATTTAGCAATTCCCATTGTTAGGTCATCCCAACATATTGTTACTGGAACAATAATGTCCTAGTTTTTGTGTCCTCACAGTTCTAATAATTACATATATCTTCTTCCATAGAATAAAAAAATTGTTTTTGAGCCAGGCATCATGGCTTACGCCTCTAGCACACTGGGAGGCTGAGGTGGGTGCATTGCTTGAGCTCAGGAGTTCCAGAGCAGCCTGGGCAAGAGTGAGTCCCTTCTATAAATTAGCTGAGTGTAGTGGTGCACACCTGTAGTCATAGCTACTCAGGAGCCTGAGGCTGAGTCAAGTTTGCAAGAGTAGAAACTAAGACTGAATGCTTTTAAAGAGGACTGCTCAAGACCAAGAGTTTGAGGTTGCTGTGAGCTATGATGCCACTACACTCTATCCAGGGCGAGAGAGTGAGACTCTGTCTCAAAAAAAGAAAAAAATTGCTTTTGAAATGTTTAGGTATGTTGTGAATATAGACATTAAATTTTCACTGTCTGCTTTTCTTTGAGAATACAGAAAAATTGTCTTTTAAGTTGTTCCCAGGGATGTGACCTTGTACTCGGTTTCAGCTGTTAGAGGAACTATATCATAGGCTTAGGGAAAGAATGAATTACTATTCCTTGAGCAGTTCTCAAAGGTCTGTATTGTCTCCAATTGTTCATATTACAATCTGTAGTAGCTCACTGAAGGTCAGATTCCAGGAAGACTTTTTGGAAGCAAAGGAGAGACAGAGAAAAACGAGACACCATCAGCATGACCCCTGACACTGCAGTTTCCTTTAGAGAAGCAGTAATCGGAGCGTCAGACAGAACCATAAAGAGCAGAAAATCTTCAAGCAGAATGAGGATCACTTCTGCATATGGAATAGAAAATTTCCTTGGTTTTAGGAATTGTCCATGGAATTTATAAGAAGTACTTGGGCATTCATTTAGGAAGTCCCATCCACAGATGAAAAATTTCATTGGTATATTGATTCAAACACAGGCTGTAACTTTACCCATCCCTTGGGCTACTTCAAATACATCAAAAAGTAACACAACCAAGCAATAACTATATAGAGAATTAAGAAAATCTCTTTCCTCTGGTGATCTTACCTTTTAGCTCTTGCTGAGATGGGCACCAAGCTTTTCTTTCCTGATCAAGCTTGCTGCATAGGGTATCTGTAAGATAAAGGAAAAAAGAAAGAAAGAAAGCCATCCAGGTAAGCTAAATTTGTAGACAGATGT